AAACCTCCCTTCAAACCTGCCTTTTCTTGCGTCCCATTTTTATTTTTTATGACCCCATTTTATCGCATGCTGACAATTAGTGTTGGCTTCTCCTCAGACAATTCTTCGTATCACAGTCTCAATAGATCACATGCAACTACTCAGCCACCAACAGCACATGCAATCTGCTCATGTGAACACGCAATTTAACGCCTGCTATTTAGGATTTTAGGCCCGTAATCTTCTCCTCATGGGGAAATATAGGTTAAATTAAATGTAAACTAAACTCCAAAATTCTTTTTTTTTTTGTTTGTTTGTTTTGTTTTACAGGGCTCTCGATTGACTTTGACACAGAGCAACTTTACTGGATCAGCTCAGGAAACAGCACCATCAACCGCTGCAAGCTGGATGGTTCCGGGCTCGAAATACTTGAAGGAGTCAAGGGCAAGTTGACCAAGGCTACCGCTCTGGCCATCATGGGTAAGTCTGTTCCCTTTGCAAATCTCATTTATTTTCACATCCTTTTAAAATGTCAATGAGCGTGCAAAGTGTGGTTCCAGTCGGTTATCATTCTGCGTGTCATCCCGCAGGTGATAAATTATGGTGGGCCGACCAAGGAACCGACCAGATTGGAATTTGTGACAAGAAGGACGGAGGCAACTGGAAAATCCTGAGGAACAGCACGTCCCCAATGATGCACATGAAAATATACAATGAAACTGTACAGAAAGGTGCTTAGGCCCACTACTCTCATTCATACACGTCCGCTTATGCGTGAGAACATGGGCAACGCAACTAATAAAATGCACATATATGATAATATCAAACATAAGCACGATTTAAAATTCAAATCAAACGTAAATATAATTTGGATTTAAACGCGGTTTTGTGAAATGAATTTCTGACCTATTTTCTTCACACGAATCAAATGTCAAGAATTTTTTTTTTACATTTCTGAGCCACGTGTTTTGCTTGAAATAGATGTCAAAAAGAGAAAAAAAAAGATACCCATTTAAGGTCCGCTTCCGTTGCAACCATCCCGCTTTTTTATCTCAGCAAGTGCACATCTGTTTCGATCTTTTCTCTGTTTTGATGTGTTTTCACTCATGCGCTTTTTTTTTTTTTTTTTTTTTTTTTTTTTTGTTTCTAGGCACCAATCTTTGCAGCAATAACAATGGTGACTGCTCCCAGCTGTGTCTCCCCACCTCGCCGACCACCAGAGCCTGCATGTGTACTGCGGGATACAGCCTGCGCAGAGGCCAGCAGTCTTGCGAGGGTGCGGCACATGACGCTGTATTTTAAAGAGCGTGCTAATGGAATCGAGCACTTGTTAAAGAGTGTGTATTTGCTCTAGGTGTTGGCTCTTTCCTCCTGTACTCTGTGCACGAGGGTATCCGTGGTATTCCTTTGGACCCGTCGGACAAGTCCGATGCCCTGGTGCCAGTGTCGGGCACTTCCCTGGCTGTGGGGATTGATTTCCATGCCGGTAATCCTACAACAAAGAAAATATACACCCTCATTCAAAAACATCGACGGAAATGCTGTACAGTTTATACGATTGTGTGTCCCGTTCTTCCTCAGACAATGACACAATCTACTGGGTGGACATGGGTTTGAGCACAATTAGCAGGGCCAAACGAGACCAAACGTGGAGAGAAGATGTCGTCACCAATGGCATCGGCAGGGTGGAGGGGATAGCTGTTGACTGGATAGCAGGTGAGACAAATGATATCCTCCCAAAATGTTGCCTCCAAGGTACTGCTTCAAAATCGATGCCCATACTTCATTTAATCGTAACTTTTTTTATCCTCATGGCATACACAGATCACAGTTTTCAAATTGGTATTTGATATGCAATATTAGGAGGATTGCATTGAGAATTACGATCCAACCCCCCCGCCCCCACACACACACACAAATTTCTATTTACGTTTACGTTAAGTATCAAAAATTGTTGACAAGAATTTGCACACAAGCAAACAAAAGAGCTTTGACATCACTCGGATGTGATACAGCAACAACAAATACATGAAATGCGTCAATCCACACACCCAGAAATAACGGTAATAATTTTTCATTGTGCTTTCCTACAGGAAACATCTACTGGACAGACCAAGGCTTCGATGTGATCGAGGTGGCCCGGCTGAATGGCTCCTTTCGCTATGTCGTCATCTCCCAGGGCTTGGACAAGCCCCGCGCCATCACCGTTCACCCCGAAAAAGGGTGAGAAGGCAGCCGTCTTCAGTCTGCGTTGATATTCTTTTCATGATTGATGATTCGCGTGAGTCATCCGTGTGCTTGTGCGCGTGCAGCTACTTGTTCTGGACAGAGTGGGGCCAGTACCCTCGCATTGAACGCTCCCGACTAGATGGCACGCAAAGAGCTGTTCTGGTCAACGTCAGCATTAGCTGGCCCAACGGTATCTCCATTGACTATGAGGTACGGTAACAAACCACTTTTTTTCTTGCAAGTCACATTGATAATAGTGCTAACTCAGTGTTCCTCTTTTGTATGGAAAACGCGACTCCTGTGTGCCCACAGGAGAGTATGCTGTACTGGTGTGACGCCAGGACGGACAAAATTGAGCGCATCAATCTGGAGACCGGAGAGAACAGAGAAGTGGTGTTGGCCAACAACAACATGGACATGTTCTCCGTGTCCGTGTTTGAGAGCTACATCTACTGGAGTGACCGGTGAGAAGCCCCCCCAACCCTCCCCCCTTTAGTTATGGTTCATTAAGAGTTGCAGTCCCTTTCGTTTATTGCCCTTTGGCTGTTGTCAAGCAGAACTCACGCCAATGGCTCCATAAAGAGAGGCAGTAAAGACAATGCCACAGACTCTGTGTCTCTGCGGACCGGCATCGGGGTGCAGCTCAAAGATATTAAGGTCTTCAACAGGGCCAGGCAGCAAGGTGAGCCACTGTCTTCCAACAGTCAAACACATACTGTACGTACACCCAAAAAAAAAAGACATTAGATCAGGGGTGTCAAACTCATTTTTGTCGCGGGCCACTTTCAGTGACCGTTTCCCTGGGAGAGCCGTTCTGACCGTGAAACCATATCAAGAAGTCAGCTACTGTGATGAAGGGTTTGGTAACAAGAAAACGCTGACAATATCTCACTTATTTATGAGAATATGAGAAGTTAAAATTTCGGTCCAGACTTTAGCAATCATTGTAGAAGTTAACATGCTTGATTTGCTTTCGTGGACCACATAAAATGATGTGGCGGGCCAGATTTGGCCCCCGGGCCTTGAGTTTGACACCTGTGCATTAGATGACCATCCATGGACAACTTGAATTATTTCAGTAGTTGAACAAGTTACCGGTACCGAGGAAGTTATAAGTTACCACACTCACTATTTCATTATTATAATCTTTTAAATTTTGATGACTACGTATAGCCCAGAACAAAAAGGTACATATCACCTCAAAAATTGTTACTATTCCATATGAAACCACAAAAAAGAGATTTAATATAGAGTAAGGCAAGAAATGGTCCAGTGAAAAATATTTTCCCAATTTATTTCATTAATCTGTATATTATACAGATCACATTTGGAATTTAGTGCAGATCAAGGAACCTTTCCACAAAATTGATATGCACTTGAATATGTGCAAATTCACCAGCCACAACTTAAGGTGCAAAACATGCTTTTGCAAAGAGTGAGGTCAACTTTCTTACCCTTTTTAGTCACAGGGAAATTACCCCTCTATATACGTTTTAGGTTTACAGTGTATCACGTTATTATGAGCAAATGAAAACTGGGCGTTATTTTAAAGAGGCAATATTGATGATAAACTCATATTAACACTCATTAGACTGTGTAGGTGATCCTAATGAAGGTACCAGGAATGTATTTAAACTCCCGATTTCATCTTTATCTCTTAAAAATGCTGTAAGAAGTCCGTTCAAAAAGAATATCGATGACCATTTCGTCTTTATCTGTGCAGGAACTAACGTGTGCAAAGTCAAGAATGGCGGGTGCCAGCAACTTTGTCTGTACAGTGGCGACGGAAAGCGCACGTGCGCCTGTGCACACGGCATGCTGGCTGAAGACGGACGCGGCTGCCGCGACTACGACGGCTACCTCCTCTACTCGGAACGCACCATACTGAAGAGCGTCCACCTGTCGGATGAAAACAACCTGAACGCGCCCATAAAACCGTTTGAGGACCCCGAGCACATGAAGAACGTCATCGCGCTGACCTTCGATTACAGAGGAGGAGGAGGGAAGGGTGCCAACCGGGTCTTCTTCAGCGACATCCATTTTGGCAACATCCAGCAGATCAGCGATGATGGATCCGACCGCAAGACTGTCGTCGAGAGTGAGTATTCCTGCTTCCTCTACGTGTCGTTAAATTGTCAATTTGCTTCTAATTTTATTTCCCGACATACCTACAGCTTATTAACGATTCACTATTGATGTGCGACATGCCTTTTACTTTCCCGGGGCTAAAAAGGGGTTGACCAATACATGGATGGATGAGAAAATAATGTAGAAATGTATTTCAGAATATTAAATATAATGCTGGAGGGGCTATACAGAGACGACACAGATTTATGACAGGGCAGCAATAGCACCCCCTAGCCCTGGTCTTGCACCATCCCTTTAATTGAATAACTATCATTTCCTCCCCACCAAATTTTGGATCTCCATTTAAAGATTAAAATGTTGATATTTAAAATACAAGAGCTGCCTTCAGAATGCTAATATTTGTCAGCTTCAATTTGATATTAATAATACAGTATAATAGCGCATCAGACTCGAATACCTACATAGCCCGCTCGAGCAAATGATCCCTTTAAGCGTCAAAGTTGCAAAATTGCAGCAGCATTGACAGTATGCTTTTATCTTGAACCATTTTCAAGGTACAATCTTTTCTAATAGCGGTGTCCAAACTGAATATTTTATTTAAAAAAACAAAAACACAAAAAAAACGTAGGCTCCTAAAACTGCGCACCATTATTTTTATAAAACTTGGAAAGTCAGAACGTGAAAGTGTATGTTTGGGCAAATAACAACACCACAGAAAGAGACTTTTTTTTTTTTTCGTCTCTTTTCCATAATCTCAACAGTCCTTTTGGAGATCTTCAATGATTCATATGCATGATTGCTTGACAAAAATCAAGGTTATCGGTTGTCTCATAAAGGAGCAAGATTCTTAACAGCTTGTTGTGAAATACTCAGCAGTGCCCATTCCTCGCAAGTAGTCTTTTCAAATGATTAATTGTAATTCCCAGGAGTGGGGATCAGCCCAGTGTTTGTGCAGCAGCTTCGTAATTACTGTCAATCAGGCAGGCCCGCCCCCACTGGCTCTCTGCCCTTCCCTCTTAAACAGCCTCAGCAGATCCTGTCTGAACCTTTGGGAGATGAGCACATAGAGGATGGGGTTTAACACCGTCGACGTGATGGCCATGAGTCGTGCAAACACGCTGAACGGGCCGTAACGTGGTGAGGTGCCGGTGGCCCCCGAGCTTTTGTCAGATAGCAAAGTCAATGTCAAGCCATAGGAAGGCAGCCAGCACAGGGTAAATGCCACCACCAGTATAGCCGACGTCTGGGTTACCTTGCTGTGATATCGTTCAACTTGCGGAGCTTGAACAGCACTCCGAGTCCTCCACAGGAACAAGTAGATATTACCGTATGCGATGGCGATGGTGACCAGGGGGAGTAAGAACGCCACCAGGAAGTGGACCAATCCGTAAATTAGCTGATCTCGGTGGTACAGGAAAGCGAAGCAAGCAAGGGCATTGGGGTTATTGGGAGAGCTTCCGACAAAACGAAACACCAGCTGCGGTGCTGCCAGGCAGCAGGCCGGGACCCAAAGCAGCGCGGCTGTCATGGTGACGTGGCGTGGAGAGAGGAAGCGATACGTTCTGGCAGGGTGCACTACCGTCATGTAGCGTGACACGGCCAGGGTGGACAGCGTGAAAGCGCTGGCCGAGGTGCAGGCCGATCCCAAAAAGCCCGCCAGACGACACAGGAAGTCCCCGAAAGGCCACTGCTGCATGGCGATGGCGGCGGTGTGGAAAGGAAGCGTGACGAGTAGGAGAAGATCGGCAAAGCTCAGGGCCAACAGGAGGATGTCCGTACCTGTTCCTGACTGAGCCGTCCGCCCCCTGCTCCTCCTACATAGGATCACCATCACCGTGGTGTGCCCCCCAACACCCAAAACCAGGATCACAACATCAAATATAGGGACAAGGACCTGTTCCACATTGCCAGCCCCGTTGTCACTGCTGTTCCCTAACGGATCCACGACCGCAGCAGAATTCCACAGCAGCATTTTTATGTCTTCACTTGAATCGTGCCTGTCACTGCAGTCATGCTCAAGTTGCTCATAAAAGTGCAGATAAGACGAGTGGAAATGATTGCTCACGTTGCGGATGAATGGCAGTTCAAGCAGGGAAAGAATAACAATTTCCAACCATTTCTTTTACCATCTTTGATGAAACACACCGCAGGCAGCCTGTCGCTGTTTGTTAAAATAAGTACACTCATTCAGAGAAGTAAATTTGTGCTTGTCATTTCAGAATGAGCAAAATCAATCGGTCAGGAATCCCGGTAAAGTCATCCAAGTTCCTCAATATGGCAGGTTTTTTTTAAATTTCTCATCAGCTCAAAGTCACTCCCCATGATATCTTAGACGGGCCGATCCGCAGCAAGCCTTAGTTGTACCTCCAAGGGGGGCTCCTCTCGAGGACTCTGCCGGTGGCCGAGGAGGAAAAGAAACGCTGAATAGCTTTACAGCAAAGGCGCGATGAAGGCGAGCCATCGGCAGATGAACTCTGGACTGAATATCACAAAGCAGGATGGCGATTGGCTGGCCAGCTCACTGTGGGTGGGGCCCTCTGAGGCCTAAAAGTTTTTCCCAGGGTCTGTCGTTCTGGGTCAATTCCTAAAAGGGTTCAATTGTTTGGGGGATTTTTTTGTATCAATGTATCAATGAAAATTTGAAATGAAATTGTATCAGGTGAGCAAATTAAATTTAAACTCATCTAAGCATAAACCTGATGACAAAATTTTTAAAAAACAGTGAAATGTGACATATTGTGTTCCAGTATTATACTCACAAGAGCCACATCATTTAGTACACTTGAGTCTACACAATCTAATGAGAGGAGTGAATATTAAATAGTTGGGTGGATTTGTGTATATATAGAGAGAGAGAGAGAGACAGAGAGAGAGGTGTTCGACTGGTTAGCGCGTCGACCTCACAATGCAGCGGTTCAATTCCAGCTTTGGCCTCCCTGTGTGGCGTTTGCATGTTCTCCTTGCGCCTGCGTGGGTTTTCTTCAGGTACTCCGGTTTCCTCCCACATTCCAAAAACATGCATGGCAGGCTGATTGAACACTCCACATTGTCCCTAGGTGCGAGTGTGAGCGTCGATGGTTGTTCGTCTGTGTGTGCCCTGCGATTGACTGGCAACCGGTTCAGGGTGTCCCCCGCCTACTGCCCGAAGACGGCTGGGATAGGCTCCAGCACCCCCCGCGACCTTTGTGAGGATAAAGCGGATCAGAAAATATATGGATGGATGGATGGAGAGAGGGAGAGCGAGCGAGAGAGAAAATCTAAAATATTGTTTGCTATCAGAAACCTGGCTAATAATTGACCGCTGATAACAACAAACTGACCTCCAATCACGTATGTCTGAAATAATATTGTAAATGCAGTCAGAATATTTGTCAACCTGTCCTCCAAAAAATTTGGTTGGTCAATGTGGAGATCAATTTAAGTGGACAGCAATCATTTAAGAGAGAAAATAGCAGGCCTCTTGATCTGTTCTATTGTTTGTGGAAAATCCTTCACTTGGCTCTCGAGTGACTCGTGCGGAGACAAATGTTGACTCATGTCCTGCATGGCATTGCGGCACAGATATTGAGCTGTGGTGTCAAGTGTCTCACCTGGTGGTGAACCTCGCAATCTGGCCGCAGCTCTTAAAAGATAACTGTCAAACTCAGCCCCAGGAAAGGCAGCTTTAACCGACACACCTTCACTGTTTGGGTCAATTAGTAAGAGGATTTCAATTACCTGTTGTGCTTAATATTACACACTAACATTTGCAAACGAGGTAAACAAAGAGGACATTGTGTTCCTCCATTTTGCCCAGTTTTTGCTAAGCCGATGGATTCTGTTCAGACATGATGCAGGCTATTTTTCAAGATGCTTTCAAGGCTTCTGGGTAAAAGAAAAAAAAATACTTTTGCGTTTCCTCCTGGTTTGATGAGGCTTTGCAAAGAAAAATAATATGACACTGTAATAAGTGTTTTGACCCTTTCAGTGAGACAATTGTTGCAGAAAAGCTTTGAGTCGCCCTGGGTGGAAAGCTGCTTCTGACTCTTCCACTCTGTTGCCTTTTACCTCGACTGGATTTGACATGCTTCCTTTCCCTCATCCATTATCTCTGTTTCCGCTTCATCTTATCTCTCATTTGCAGTTGTGTTTATAAGGAGACCAAAAAAGCAGTGCAATGCTCTCTAATGCATTTTTCCCCCCTAATTAGCTACGTGCTAAATTCTGAACACACAAGGAATAGTCGACATAATTTCTCACTTGTAGACAGAAGAACGCTATAGCTGCTCGTTTTCTTCTGCTCTTCCTCTTGTTTCGTGGGAGATTTGTGGAGTACTTTTGCCTAGTTTGCCTCGTAAAGAATACATGCCTACTCTGGTGTTTTTTCACAAAACAGATAAAGGACAAGGAGAGTTGGCAACATGCTTCAGACATACGTGCATTAAGCAAATTACAGTGTACGCTTGCAAATTCACAATTTCAAATTAGGGAAGTCACCGATTTAGATGTTTCGCAGCGGGAAACTATCCTCCACTTTAAATTGAAAAACTCACCTATTTGCTGTTTTGTGGTAACATCGACTGTGTTGAAGTGAGTTGAGGAGCTTCAGCCAGACACAAATAGTGCTTTGGGTGCCATCTTGTGGCATTTATATTCATAGCTTTTTGGAGTAGGCGTCAATAAATCACAGATTTTCGCTAACACTCAAAAACAGGTTTACGAAATATCCCTGCGTAAACCCTACAAGATGCATATTTGATAATGTTTGATCACTACAGTGTCATTTCCTGCATCAGGTGGGGTTTTTTGGCTGTAATGCAAACCCTCCCTGTGATTATTTGCCCTTTTCCTCAACTTACTCATTCCATGTTTGGTGTGTTTTTGTAGACGTGGGCTCAGTGGAGGGTCTGGCATACCACAGGGGTTGGGACATGCTGTACTGGACCAGCTACACCACCTCAACGATCACCCGTCACACTGTGGATCAGAGCCGCTGGGGCGCTGTTGACCGGCATACGGTGGTCACCATGTCAGGAGATGACCACCCGAGAGCTTTCGTGCTTGACGAGTGCCAGAGGTTGTCTTGTTATCCCTTTCTGTCACAAAATGCCTCCTTTGTTGTTTCACCCCTAACGTTAATTTTCTATTTTTTTCCCCATCCATCACAAAGCCTGATGTTCTGGACCAACTGGAATGAGCAGTCGCCCAGTATAATGCGAGCTACACTCACCGGGTCCAACGTGATCGTGATCATTGGCACGGACATCCGAACCCCCAACGGCCTGGCCATCGACCACCGCGCTGAAAAGCTTTACTTCTCTGACGCCACCCTGGACAAGATAGAGCGTTGCGAGTACGACGGCAGCAGGCGTTATGTGAGAGCCACGTACACACCGCTCAGCGTGCTAGAACACAATGGCGATACTGTATTTATACTGCAGTGTGATTATATACTATGATCTGTGGATCGTTTTTTTTTTTTTTGGCCTCTCCAAGATTGGAATTTCCTGAATGCGTCAATTCATAAGCGTGGTTATGCTTCCCCCTCTAGGTGGTCCTGAAGAATGAACCAGTGCACCCCTTTGGCCTGGCAGTATATGGAGATTACATCTTCTGGACGGACTGGGTGAGGAGAGCCGTTCTTCGGGCTGACAAATACACCGGAGGAGACATGAAGGTTCTGCGTGCCGATATCCCTCAGCAGCCAATGGGAATCGCCGCCGTGGCCAACGACACTAACAGCTGTGAGTGTTTTCCACTGTGTTTGTGCAGCCGCTATTCTCTTTTGGTTACAAGATATTTTTCAAAGGCCGGCAGTCTGCTTCAGTGATTTGAATCCGTTTTGCTTTAAGTGCGATGGAGCCAAAGATAGTGAAAGTTGTAAAAGTAAAGCCCTCGTGTCGTGGTTTTCGTGCCTGACTTTGACGCTGCTGGCGTTGGCTCACTTCCCAGTCCCTATTTACTACAATCACACAGTGATTGACTGTCCGTCAGCGCAGGATGTGGTAGTTTCACCCAAAGTCTTCTGGGGTTAGCTAAAGCTCCTCTTGCGGCTCTAAAACACACACTTACACTGGGTTGTACTGAGTGTTTCCGAAGAGCAGTATATTTGACACTTTCAAGGTCGAAAAATAATTACACTATGACAAAAATAAGAACTTGAAAGTATAAAGAGTGGTCATTGCGTTATTTTGATGGGAACGTGTTAGCGTAGGAAAATTAATTGCAGGCCAGGTGTGTTGAAATGTGCAAATTTGTGCTCGATAACCTTCCTAACAAACTTACGCTCTGCTCAGGTGAGTTCTCTTTGTGCCGCGTTAACAACGGAGGATGTCAGGACCTGTGTCTGCTGACTTCGGAAGGGAGAGTCAACTGCAGTTGTCGTGGTGACAGGAAGCTTTTGGAGGACAACACTTGCATAGGTAATGCAGTACAGCGTAAGGGATGCCTGATTTTGACTTTATTTCATCTTCCATTTCATCTGTATTTTTCAAAAAAGGGACTAAGAATAGGTTTCGCAACTTTCCCTAGTGTTTTTGAAAACTGCTGGAGTCTGTGCTCTGCTAGAGAGTGGAAAAAACAAGCGTCCAATACCTTTCTTTGCCTGACTCACACACTTCCTCCAGAACATAAGAAATTCAGCCCTCCACGTCCAGGCAGCAAATAAATCACCACTGGCTAATTTAACAATATGCGCCCATAAAGCACATGAATGTGTGATTTATTTTCACTCCTGGAGGCAGCACTTCATCACCAAGCACCCCCACTGTCAATTACTGTAGCGGATCTGTGCATTTGGCACGTGCAGCAGACATATTGTAATATCCTGAGACGGCGCAATTTAACGAAATGCAGAAATGCTTGCCTGCAGACACAAAATGCGCAAATGGCCAACTCACAAAATATTCACTTGGCTATTTAATTTCACACTTTGTGGGTGGCCAGAGACCCAATAATACAAACAATTAAAAAGTCAAATTTACGTCCCCCACTGAATGTATTTTAATTAACAGTGAAATCCGAATGTTGTTTTTGCCCTCTCGCTGTAGCGCTGAACGCCACATGCAATCCCGCCGATGAATTTGAGTGCGGAAATGGAGATTGCGTGAACTACACGCTGACTTGCGACGGCATGGCCCACTGCAAGGACAAATCTGATGAGAAGCAGTCTTACTGTGGTGAGAAGGAACTCTCGCTCTGTTTTCATGAGCCGCTCAGCCAAATATTTGTGTTTTATGTTGCACGCTATTTCATTCTGGGCTTGTGTTCCAGCCAATCGTGCGTGCAAAAAGGGCTTCAGGCGTTGCGTGAATGGCCGCTGTGTAGGGCATCACTCCTGGTGTAACGGACAGGACGACTGTGGAGACAATTCCGATGAGCTTTTCTGTAACAGTGAGTCATACCATTTATACTTTTC